AGGAATTTGCTATGCCAGGGTATATAAATCCCAACAAAAACATCATCCATGGAGGGAGGATGTCCACAAGAAAGACTTCTTCATCAGGAAAATCTTCAAAAATTTCTCAATCGGCTGGAATAGGATGGTCAACTAAGAAATCTGCTAGGACTTGTCCTTTCACTACTTTTCGTGGCACATGAACAATTTCAAACTCATTAAATAAAATTGACCACCTCGCCAAGCATCTGGAAAGGACCGGTTTAGACATGACATATTTGAGAGGATTAACTCTTGCAATAAGATGTATCCTATGAGCCAAGAAATAATGCCTCAGTTTTTTTAGAAGCGAAGACAAGCGCGAGACATGTCTTTTCAATTGGAGGATAATTTCGCTCCGTCGAGGTAAGTCTGCGACTTAAGTAATACAAGGCCTTATCTTTATGTTCTTCATTATTCTGAGTAAGTAAGGCACTTAGTGATTCTTTTTGCGCAGCAATGTAAAGTATGAGTGGTTTTCCAGGTACAGGTGCTCCCAATACCGGAGAATTGAGAAGGTATTTTTTGATGCTATCAAAAGCATTTTGGCAAGATTGGTCAGTTAAAAGGTTGACAACGGCCAATTAAATTTGAGATGAACCGACGAATGAACGCAAGTTAACCTTATAAACTTCAAAGCTCGCGTAAATTCTTTGGTGGCGGCATCTTTTGAATGGCCTCAACTTTATAAGGATCAATCTCAATACCACGATGATATACGACGTACCCAAGGAATTTCCCTGAAGTGACACCAAATGCACATTTAAGAGTATTCATCTTGAGTTAAAATTTTCTGAGGCGATTAAAAACTGTATGTAGATCCTGTAAATGATTTTTTCGCTCTTTCGTCTTAACCACCAAGTTATCAACATAGAATTCAACAATCTTATGCAGTATATCATCAAAGTTCCTTTGCATGGCGCGTTGGTATGTTACTCCCGCATTCTTAAGTCCGAAAGGCATAACTTTGTAGCAATATATGCCTTTAGAAGTGCGAAAGGCAGTTAACTCCTTATCCTTTGGAGTCACCCGGAGTAACAATCCATGAAAGAGAGAGCTTCATGCCCCGTAGTTGCATCTACAGTGAGCTCGAGGATGGGAAGAGGAAAATCATCTTTTGGATATGCCTCATTCAAATCACGAAAGTCCACACAGATTCGAATCTGTCCATTTTTCTTCTTCACTAGAACAATGCTCGAAATCCATGTTAGATATTTGACCTCACGAATAAACCCTGCTTCAATCAATTTGTTGAGTTCTTCATCTATCCTTGGAACAAGCTCTGGACGGAATAAATGTTGAGACTGCTTAATCGTGTCCCATGTTTGATAGCAAAATTGTATACTACAATTTTAGGGTCAAGACCGGGCATCTCTTTGTATATCCAAGCAAAGACATCTGTGATACCCCTCAGATCCGAGACACGGGTTGATCAGACCCAAGCCCAAACCCGAGGGAATATCAAACAATTAATATATAAACGAACACAGATTATAAAATGAAATAAAAAATAATTAAAAGTTGAATGAATTCTAAAATAAAAACCTTTCAAATTAAATACTTAGAAAATCCAATAATCCAAAACCTCCAATAGTTTAAACAACTCGAGAATCCATCTCTAGTGGACCCTTGATAAAAATCCAAAACTGAAATGAAACTACTAAAAGAACATCCAAAGTAAACTATGGAGAGAAGTCCTACGTTGTCGGAAGATGGAGTGATAGTCTCTGCTCAGCATGATCAAGCCTACGACTGAAACTGTCGAACACCTGAAAAATAGAAGTGGGTCAGGCCCACTAACAAGTTCTATCCTACTACAATCCAAGCAGAGACTCGATACACATGTATATCCTAACCAACTCAACAATAACTATATAGTCCGTATATATATATATATATATATATATATATATATATATATATATTCACACTAAAGGGCTCTCACTGGACTACAGGCCGGTCTCAACCTGAATAGAGGCAACATGCAAAACGCACCTGAAGTGGGCATGTATACCTAAGCCTAATAGAGTACACCTCCAACCATCATAACCAGCTATGCATCCCAATGCATATACGCACCCTAACCATCGATCCTGAGACTCAAGCTCATATCGAGGTACCATAACAATATATTTAAAATCCATCCAGAATCCATAGTAGTGCCGCTCAACCATTCGTTGCCTTGACACTACAAATCAATAGGATTTAATTTTTAGTTAATTCATTCCTTAATTCCGTAGTAGGTAGGACTTAGCGTTTTTGAGCTAATCCCCCTAGTATGCCACCGTCCCATACCGGTGTATACAATCCATCCATCCAACAGTTGATAATACAGACAAGGAATGTAAATATCAACTAATCCATACATCCAATAATTGATAATTAAAATATCAAGTATAAACATCAATTGTTCCATACTAAGCATGATAAAATTCTGTAATGTAACAGATTTATTTGATACTACTCCACAAAATCCAATAACTGATAATACATATTATACATGTAAACATCAATTTTTTTTTTTTTTTTTTTTCTTTCAATGAAGGAGTATAATAAATTCAACAATATAGTACAAGGATTCAAGTAAGGGCATACCCTCACTAAAACAAAACAAAAGGTCCTAAATAAGGACCAAACCACATAATCTAGCAAGCAAAGAGATTAAAAGAAGTCTTGAAGGTTAACCCCCAACATATCAATCACTTCTCAAAAAATACATTTGGCTAGATCTTCAGACTCTCTAATAAAATTATCATGTACTCTATTATTCCTTTCCCACCAAAGAAAATATAAAGTAGCTGTGAAGCAAACTCTGGACATCTTCCTGACATCTTTCCTTTGGAAATCTTGATTAAACTGATCCACCAAATCTTGCACCACATTAACCTTTTGCAAGTTCCATGAACACACCTAAGATAATAAACTCCAGACCTTCCATGTATACTCACAACAACAAACTAAATGATCCACTGTTTCCACCTCTTTGTAGCATAGGTAGCACCTTGAAACCAATGTAACTCCCCTCTTTTGTAAGAACACTTGTGAAATAAGTGCCTTATGCATAACCAAAACTGCATGAACTGACCATCTAGGATGGCCACCATTCCAGCACAAATCAGCCCACACCACCTCTTGATATTTCACTCTACCTGCTTCCCGAGCGACCTTGAAACCAAAAGGTGTTTTCCATTGTAACTTATCATCCCCTCCGGCAATAACTTGATTTTTGAAAAGCTGAATCATGTCTTAAGTTGTAGTGCTCAATTTATCCTCATCCCATTGCCCATTAGTAATGAAGCTGCTCATACAGATACTTTTATCTCTACTCAAAGCCCCTAACATCCTATGATTATACATGTCACTCAAATATTACCCATCACACCATGGATCCATGAAGACTTTAGTATTCTCTACATTGCCAATCTTGAATCTGCAATTCACATTAATAATATTTCTGACAGCAACAATACTCCTCCATACTGCTGATGAAGTGCCTTTAACAACCACAGTCCAGTATGAGGCCCTCTTCAAGTAACAATTTCTGAACTAAGCAACCCATATTCTATCCTTAGATAGAAGGAAATCCCACGCCAGACATATCTTTGCAGCAATGTCGATGTCCTCAATCCTTCTCAACCCCAAACCACCTTCCCCCTTAGGCACAGTAATATTCTTCCACGAAATACCATAAATTTTCTTTCTATTTTCAACATGTCCCCAAATAAAATTCCTCATTCTTCTCTCAATAACACTTGAGACTGCAGCAGGAAGAGAGAAAATTGAAGTCCAGTACTACACCATAGGAATGATGACAACCCTACTCAACTTAACTCTACCTGCCATTGAAATATGCAACCCATTCCATCTAGCTGTAACAACAATGACCTTATCAACCAAATTTAAACAATCTGCCCTTCTAAGCTTTTTGTCAGAAATAGGTAAACCAAGATAGGTAAAAGGAAACTTCCCCTCCTTACAGCCAAGAATTCGCAGAATAGATTTCCTTCTCTTCATTGTTCTAGTTAAATATACTTCAGATTTCTCCTTACTAACAGCAAGGCCAGAGGTTTTTTCAAATTGAAGTAGAAGTTTTTTCAATGTTAAAACACTGGCCATATTTGCTCGCACCATAATTAAAAGATCATCAGCAAAGAATTGATGAGTAATTGGAATTCCGGCTTTAACTGCAGCTTGAGATGGAATCACTTTACCTTTCTTTGTTTCCCACTCCATCATACCAGAGAAGTATTCAGTAACAAGAGTGAATAGCAATGGAGACAAGGGGCATCCCTGCCTTAACCCCCTTTTAGGTTGAAAGTATCCTTGAGGAGATCCATTAACAAGAATTAAAAACCACATTGATGATACACATTCTTTAACCCAAGTAATCCATTGAGCACTAAAGCTGAACAACTTCAGCAACTCAAACAAAAATGGCCACTGCACTGTGTCATAGGCTTTCCTTAAATCAATTTTCCACGCTAGCGTAGCTTTAGCCCTCTTAGCCCCAAACCCTCTCATCAACTCATTAGCAATAATAATATTGTCTTGGATCCTTCGACCATGGATGAAAGCTGTTTGTTCATTTCCTACAATTTTGCTTAAAACTGTAGCACGTCTATTAGCAAGGATCTTAGCTACCACTTTATAAAAAACATTACAGAGAGATATAGGCCTGTAGTCCTCAACCCTAACAGCATCCTTCTTCTTCTTAATCAAAGTGATAAATGTACTATTGACTCCCTTCCCCAAGATTGGATTCTGAAAAAACTGCATAACAGTCTCTGTAAAATCATCACCCATAATACTCCAATATTGCTGAAAAAACCTAGCAGAAAATCCATCAGGACCTGGTGCTCTATCAGCTCTCATTGCAAAAATAGTGCTCTTCACCTCTTCTTTTGTAACTGCAGCCTGCAACAAGGTACTCTCCTCAAGATCAATAGTTTTTCTAATATATTTCTGCTCTGGAACCTATAACTCTATACACCCCCTGCATAAGCTCTCTGAAAATACTCAACAAACCTCTGGCTAATAACATTAGGATCAGTAATAGTAGTTCCTCCCTCTTGTAATGTTGTCATATTACTATTTGCCTTATGCTGCTTAATTTTTTGAAAAAAGAACTTAGTACATCTATCTTGATCTTTCACCCATCTAATCCTTGATTTCTGAGAGAGAATAATATTTTCATTTGAAATTGCCAATTCCAAATTTAATCTACATTCATCCTCTTTGTGTATAACATCCTCATTCATTGGGTCATCAGCTAAAACACCTTGAATCTCAGCTAACTTCTTCCTGCATGATATCACTTCAACATAAACTGATCCAAATTTCTCTGTGTTCCACTGTTTCACAGCTTGTTTGCAAAGCTTTAACTTGAACATTAATTTTGCAATTGGGTCACCCTTAAATTGTTTACCCCAAGAAGTAGCTACCAAGTCCTTGACAGCAGGTTGCTTATTCCAAATCAACAAAAACCTAAAAGGTTTAGGACCTGAGGCAATGTTCACAGGCACTTTAACACATAATCCCCAATGATCTGAGGTCAAAGGAGGTGTTAATAATACGTGCGAATCTGGATAAGTAAGAGCCCAATCTTCATTCATTAAACCTCTGTCTAATTTAGCATAAATCCTTCTATTGATGTATCTCTTGTTACACCAGGTAAAAACACCATTAGCTGTGGGCATATCAGTTAAGTACAATTTATCAATTGTATTATTAAAATCAGCAAAAACTCTGGGTGGATGTCTTCTACCTCCCTTCTTTTCATTATTGTACCTGACAATATTCCAATCCCCCAATAGCAACCAAGGTCCATCAATCCACTGGACAGAATCCTCTAAATCCTTCCACAGCTGCTTCCTCCTCCATCAGTATTTTTTGCATAAACAAAGGAAATAAAGAACTTTGTAACAGTTCCTCGAATCACCACCTGTAACAGAATCATTTGATCCTTAGATATAATTACTGTAACCTCAATCTTCATGGGATCCCAACCACACCATATACGGCCACCACTATCAGCATTATAGTTGTTAGTCCAATCCCAGTTATTCCTTATCCTATCTGTAATACTCTTGAACTTTGTAATTAAAACTCTGGTCTCTACCAAACCACATAAAAAAATAGAGGAACTACTCAACCAAGCCATAACTTCCTTTTGCATTGCTTGTCTATCGAGCCCTCTCATATTCCAAAGCCCTATCATTGAGAAACCAAGTTTGGTGGAACACTCCCACCAGCCACGATTCCTTTTGTAATTCTCATACTAGCTTCCACCTCCACCTCCACCTTCTTCTTTCTATTTTTCTTTTTGCGCTTCTTTGAAGAAGGAGTTCCACCTCTAGGAGAGACTGGAACCACTTCACAACTCTACTTAATTCCATCTTTCAAACTATCAATAAGGACCCCTTGAGTTTCCGGAACCATATCCTGTGTATCAGTGGCATTAAGCATAATATTCGGTTCACAAACCCTCTCTTGACTATCCACTTCTAGATGTTTCTCTTCCACAAGACCTTGCTTCTTAGTTTCCATAATCTTTATAACCCCATCTATCTCAGCACTTTCCTCAAGCACCTGAAATGCATTGTCTGATATAACCGGAGTTTGAGTTACTTGTTGTCCCATATTTGTTTTCCCTTTTGATTTTCTCTGCACTGTGAAACCTTCCTCTTCATCTTGAACATCATTTGGAATGTCCACAATTGGTAACTTAGTCAAATCCATAACCTTTTGATCACCATTCTTATTCTTGACCACCCATTGCTCCTTAGGCTTAGGTTTAACTTTGTTCAATGGACATAAAGCTTCCACATGATCCATTTTCTTACAAAACTTACATACTTGGGGTGTCCATTCATATTCCACTTTCACTTTACATGGCAATCCATGCAATTTAGATTGTATCGTTTCTGGAAACACACCATCAACCTCCATCTCGGCTAGAACACGAATATACAAACCTTTGTCCCTACTTTGAATCACATCCTCCATATACATAGGTTTGGCAATATTAGATACAATTTTTGAAATAGAAGTGCCACTCCGTGCATGCACCGGCAGATCACATACCTTCATTCAGATCAGAACTGTGGCTAGTATCTCTCTTTCCAACTGTATACTCTTGTGCCATTTTTTCACAATGATAGCACGCCCTTGAAAAGTATGGAATCTCGCTAACACATTCATCAAATCCTCTTCAGATGGAAATCTTACCTGAAAAAAACCATCCTTCATTGAAACAACCACCGAGTCCTTATGCCACCTTTTCTGCATGCATGCTTTAAAGTAAGGATAGTAAGGTTTGCTACCAAGGACATAGCATACCACAGAATTCTTCCAATACTTCAATTCTTCGACAATATCTTCATCCTCAATAATAACAATCTCCTTTCCACGACTCTCACTATAATACGTTAGGGGAGTGAATCCCGTAGTAGTAGAGTTCAAGAGCAATGAACTCCACGATGGACGACTAGGTTGTGGGGTTATTGCAGGTGTAACGCTACCCGCCGGAGAGGAGGGTTGCCCCTCCTCCATAGAGAACGTCCCCGAAAAAAAATCTGTAACCCTAGAAGAAATCGCCGACAGTAGAGAGAAAAAAGGGCAAAAAAGTCCGACTCCACACCTCCAGTCATGTAAACATTAATTCATTCCAAATAAGCATAATAAAATATATAAATTCACATGCTTATTTATAACACTTGAACATGATTTAAACTATAAAATCATTCTCGAAAAATTGCTAAAACAATGTTGAACAATTTTAAATCTCCACATTTAAAACAGTATACCAATTTGTGTAAGAATTTTATATTGTTCAAACTATAATACACGATAATTAATTATGCATTAACAAGGCTCTTGGGAGTTTCAAATAAGCTCAGGACACCTCTGAGAATCTCCAGTATAGCTTCTAATTAAACTGGAACATCAAAATCCAAGTACAGGAGTAAAATCCATTCCTGAAATTAAAAACAAATTGAAAATCCACAAAGGAGCAGGCTCCAAAAAGATGTAGAGCAGGCTCCAATTTAAGGTAGAGGAGGCTCAACTTTTAGGTAGAGGAGGCTCAACTTTTTGGGTAAAGGAGGCTCAACTTAGGTAAAGGAGGCTCAACCTTTTGGGTAGAGCAGGCTCAACTCCCTTGGAGCCGCCTCTACATCATGTGGAACCGCCTCTACTCTTCCCAGCCTTCGTCTTCCCCGACGCCGGCTGTTTTCTGACTTTCTGATTGTCCTTGCTAAGGTTCCTAACCCTCTATTCTAGGTTCCAAACAGTCCCAATAATTTATTAAATTCATTATGCATCAATTAAAAAATGAATTATGCAAGGAAATTTACAAACAAGCAAACACCAATTCATGTAAAGGCATATTGTTATAATTAAAATTAACATGCGAACCAGATTAATCTTTAATGTCTATTTACTCCTGGAGTTGTGTTAGGCATGTAAAGAACACGAGTCAAAGAGAGAGAGTTAGGAATAGAACTTGCCTTTGAGATTTCAGTTCAAAATCTCAGTGTCGTCTTCCTAAGGTTTCCGGCGAACGCTCTGTCTTCTCCTTGGTTTAACCCTCGAACACACCCTTTTAATCTTTCCTTGGTTTAGCCTTAGTCCTAGCTAAACCCTAAACAAAGTATTCTGTTCCTCTCTATTTCTCTCCGTCTCTCTATGTACGTGAACATGGTTTACAACCATTGGCATACAGTTCTATTTATGGGCTTCACTAAAAACCCTAATTCTAGTTTAATTTAGAGACAAGAAAAGAACCATTCATATTATATCTAAGTTGGCTAACCGTGACGAAACTAAAACCCTAAAAAAAAAAACAAAAAAACAATTAAATCAAATTTCCACGTAAACATATATTTAAGACAGAAAATAATTAAAACAAATACTCAATTAAATAATTCAAATAAATATAACAATTAAATAAAATAAATACTGCAATTAACTCAATTAATTAACCACAATTAAAACAAATAAGCAAACAGCCAAATAAACCCATAAAAATGCAAAAATTACAATAAAACCATAAAATAAACTACTGAGATTATCCTTTTAAAATTAGGGGTATTACAACATCCTTGTACTTAGACAATAGTTGAAAGTAATCATTTTCTTCTAAGGGGCTTAGGAATGCACTAACGAAAACTGGTTTGGGTTGATCATCAGTCCCTAAGTTGATTTCCTTGAGTTGATCAACAGTAGCCTGCCCCCCATCTTCTAGTGTTGGTAGAGCTTTCTTGATGTCATCTGGTTATTTAGAGTCAAGTTCTTCTTCAACAGTGATGTGGTATGAAGTAATACAAGATGATTCGTCAGTGCCTTCTGTTCTATCCACTTCTTCTGATTGATTAGTGAATATACTGGTTCGCCTTCGAGCTTTTAGTGTAACATTATTGGTGACATCTATCTCTGTCTTACATTTCATTCACGAGGGCACTAGGCTCCGAACTTCACTATTGTTCACCATGTCGATGTTAACTTCCTCTAACTTTCCACTCTTGCTGCTTCTTAGCAGTGCATCATTGATAGTACCAATTCGAGAAAATACTGACTTTTGAAATCGAGGTTGTAGAGATTTTGCTCCTTAGTCATGAAAGCTCATTCTGTTAAAAACTATAAAAAACAGAGGTGCGAGGCAAATTGTTGACATGAGAACTTGAGACATTTGATTTTTGGCTCAACAACTTGTTGAATACAGATGTTCAAGCAAATAGAGCTCCTATACGATCGAAGACTGATTTTTGAGACATAGTCTGTTGGTCTTGTTCATCCTAACTTCTTCAAACCCAATGTAAAAAGTGTTTGACTTCTTATCCTTTTTTTGTGATTTGAATTCAAAGTGGCTCAGAACCTACGAAATCGAGACCGAACTTGGGTGGAATGATCTTATGCCCTTGTTCTTTCAATTTCTTCTGTGTCTCATTGAGACCATACACTTTCTCACCGGTGACCTCAGAATTAAGTTTTCCAAGGCTTGTAGGATTTTTAAAATCATACCCCGGTTTAGCCAAGAGTTGGTATGCTTTAGGATCGAATCCTTCATCAGTCCTTTATTTTAGAAGTGATCCATGTTCGACCAGAGATTGAGAAGGCTGCATGAACCCTTTTAACGGAGACTTGGAAGACAAAAACTTTTGAATCTTAGCAAGAGTAAGAGTTAACTCTCCTTGCAGCTTTTGCATATCTTTTTTTTTCTTGGTTTGCGACATTTTCACTTTAAATTCCTTGGTTTCAAGTATCTCGATGACAAGTGATTGCCCTTCTTATCATTGAGATTTTGGAACATACTTCAAAATAGGTTTCATCCGATGTGTTTTTATTGAGACCTCTCGCGTTTTAGCTACCTTTATAACGTCCGTCACTGAAACATCTAACAGGTCACCCAATGCTTCTTTTATTTTTGTAGATTGAACCACTTATGTAGACGGATGGCTTAGGATGGGCACTTCCAAAGGTGCATCGAGACCGATATAGAACTTGGCATCAGCAAAATGAGATTCTAATTCTGTAAATAGTTTATGGTTCGTTATAACCGTTTGTATCCAAGGTTTTCCCAACAACAAATTGTAGGATGTTTTTGCATTAATGTGGAATAAGGTTTCAGCTTGGAGCCCGCCAATAGTTAGCTTCGCCCGAATCATGCCAATAGTTTTCTATCCTCCTTGGTTAAAACCTTGAATAATAAGACGGTTACGAGATAACTCATCGACTGTGATGCTGAGATTTTTTATTGTAAATTTTGGCATGAGATTCACTATTGATCCACCATCAACAAGAATTTGAGTAACTTTTTGTTCTCTTATGTAACCGAAAACGAAAAGAGGACAATTATGCAGCTTCGAACCCAACTGAAGATCCTCGTCAATGAAAGTTATTGGTGCATAACATGAATCAAGCGTACCTCCGACTACTTCCTCATCATCAGATTTTTCAATGATGGCTACATCCTTTGCATGGTTCTCCACAAGCTGGGCTTTATCTTGATCCTCGTTATTCTCATCATCAGGGCTCATTTTCTAAGTTGAAACCATGTAAGCTGTCACAACTTCATCATCTAGATATCCTTCTGGAAAGAACTCTTGCAAAGTAATGGACTTTTGGATCCCTTTGCTCATAGAGTCGTGTTTGGATGACTATATCTTCTTGACCTATTTTCTATTATGGCCATACTGTCTA